AGGGGACAAATTATTTGACATGTGTTTCTGAAAAGAAATCTTTAAGAGGAACTAGACTCCTATCTGCATCTCCAGAACTAGCCATAGTGGGAGTCCTCTAGCAGCAGTTATGACCATCCCTATTAACCCACCATTGTCCTGTGGTCCAACGGCAGTATAGTAAATCAAGTGAGTCTGGTAGTAGCTGAAAGGTTGACTCCATTCTTCCTTCTGGTTCTGACAGCAGAAGGCCGAAAGTAGTTTCTCATAAAGGGCAATGCTTCATACATTATATCCTTACTCTTTCTAAACTCTCAAACACCTCTAAATCTCAAGCAGTCTCAGTGGAGATGTCAGCTCTTGCCCCAGGGCATCTCACCCGGGGTTGGGTGTATCATTCTCCATCCTACCTCCATTAAGGTAAAGTTAATAAAGAAATATCAGATTCTTGCGTGTAGCTGTCATAGTCCACTTTATCTGCTTTGCTATGGCATCACTCTTTATTAACAACGAGGTGTGAGCCACCATCCATTTATTCTTTTTATGAACTCCACTAGGTGTTTTTGCATTCTCTTCTCTCATTGCTATTCCCCAAACTTTAACTTTTAAAAGAAAGTTTCTTCAAACCTCTGATGGCCTGATGGCCTCTCTGTTTAGAAAGTGGTTTAGGGAGAAACAATTTTCACGTTTTGTTGAATTTTCCACTTTGAGACACACCTAACCATCCCCAATCAAAGAATGACTTCAAACGCATGTAAATCACTGAGTTAAAACAATGATGATGAAGCACTTTTAAAATTTGTGAAATTGTAAAGACAACACTACTAGTAGCACCGTACCTCAAAAGTCTGATTGATGATTACGGCTGAGCATGGCTTTAATCTTTACAGCCATCACCTTCAATTTTCACGAGTTACTTTATAAAGGACAGACATGATCACACTCGAAATATTTCTTTTTTTTGAGACCTTGAGTAATACTGTAGATTTATGTATCTATGTACAGCCCCTAACTGCACGCACATGTCCCTTGGTCAGAGTTCAGTAGGCAATGGACCATGGCAGTGCTGCCTGGGAATACAGAATAGCCATTTATAAAGCTTTCTGGGAGCAAATGCATTCCTGGATCTCCAGTTACTCCAGTCATTCATTATATAGTGTATGTTTGCATCCTTATGTGTATAACTGACAATGGAAAGGAAAATTCATACAAATGACAAGGAAAAAAAAAAGGATGACAAAGTGAAAAGAGAAAAGGGAAAGCACCAAGGACGAGTATGTTTTACTCTACCTGTGTTGAATTAGTCCGAATCTTTTCCCAACAGTCTATCCTTGGAAGGCTTAAAAGTGAGCTTTTATAAAGCATTAGCAAGCTTTTTTACAGTGTGATATTGAGTCACATAATTGAGCCTGTGTTACATAAAATTACTTTCAATACTGACGTTTGCTTAGCCGGTGGATTTGAAGTGAATTCAGTTTATCATATTCTATTAATAATTCATGTCAAGAAAACCTATTATTTAAAAAAATTTGGTCAAATTTTAACTTCATTTAAAACACAGACACACAAAACCCCTCATAAAAGCAGGTGGCCAGTATAACACTGCAGAAAAAGTAAGGCTCCATTTATGAATAAATGCTGGTATTTTTTACCCTTTCTTTAACAATTGGGTGTAATTTATTTTATTTATTTATTTATGTTAGTTACGTTCTTTCTCTTTTTTTTAAATAATTCCCGAACAGTTTATCAGGAAAAGAAGCAGTCCAGCAAGCTTTTTCTTATAGTTGATTAATTCCCTGTAAAATAAGATAAATTGGCCAATTTTAGAAACCATTATAAATCTATCGAATTTTCACATGATGTAGCTCTTAGAAACTAATCTACTGACTCCAGAGAGAACGTATATAAACAAGGCTTGTATTTATTTACTGATAAATCAGGCAAGAGTAGAATCATATCCAGTTTACATGACAGCTACTTCAATTTTAAAGAAAGAAAAGTTTTAAAGCAGAGTTTAAGGATATTCAGACAAGCAAACTGACTGAAAATCTTTGATATTCAAGCAGCATAATGATGATCTAATTTATTTTTGGGGGGATAAGTAAACAGCACATAGAGCTTTAGGTAAAAAAAAAAATCAAGAATACATTTTACCTTTTATAATAGAAAAGCATTGCAAAAAAACTGAAGTTCTTATGTTGTTCGATACTTTGTCTAACAACTTCTTTGCATGCATGTCTTGCATGTTTTACTGTGTTCTTACAGCTGTGACCGAATGGCCCTGAGGCTCTACAGGGAGGCTGGTATCTTGCTTCACCTGATGGATAACATCCTCTGGTGAATGTGTGCTATACCAGAAGGATTTTCTGTTCTTCATGGATGTTCATGACACCTGGGACACTGTTATTGTATTTTCACTGTTCGGTCTATACGAGTCCTAAGGGTCCTGTGGCAACTGGGTCTATCTCTCGTAGAGTTTCCCACATCTGTTGCCATTCTCTGTTATTACTTATTAATTAATATTAAGTGAACAACCTCTTTTCCACTTAAAACAGTCCAGTTAACCATGCTGTGTAAACGACGCCTCTCACCGAAATACACTTTGCCTATAGCAACATAATGAACATGGTCATATCGTCTTCTTCTCTTCCAGATCAAGAATTAATAATACAAGCTGCTGTTATTGTATTTTACTTTCAAATTTAACACAATAGTTGAACTTATTAATTTTTAGAGCACACAGTGCAGCACCAGCAAAACAGGGCCACCAACAGCAGGACTTATTAGTCCAGTATACTTGCTCTGGGCCCAATCCATCCATCACAAATGCCATATTTAATTGTCTGAAAGCCATGTTTAGATCCTGCAAACCACCGCTTAATTCAAGGCAGCGTGCAGGAACAGAGCTAGGAAATAATAAAGTGATGGATGACTGTGACCCTCCTTTGGGTAGACTTCGACGAGTGGACAGCTGGATGGATCGAGTAAAGCGGAGAAAGGAGAACGAAAGGAGAGGAAGGGGGAGGAAAGAAGAAGAAAACTTGGTATTCAAAGAATCACTCCAACTTTTCATCTGCCCTCAGGCCGGGCAGGGGCTCAAGGGAATAACAAGCATCTCCTTCAACCCCTTTCTCTGTTCCCAGGATACAGAGAAGTAAAACTCTCTAAAAATAGTGTGACTGTATGCTTTGTGTATGCATGTCTGTGTGTCTTCTAGCTAGAGTGGGTGGACTACATACATAATGACTTCCATTAACCTTCACACTCTTGAAGGATGGTAAAAAGATTAACTGTGCACTGTGCATGACACAACTAGTATGAAAACATTTTTTAAGATCTCTGCATTGAGTGTGTTGTGTTGTTATTGTGTTGTACAAGTGTATCTTGTATCTTTTTAATGTGTATGTAATAATGTGTGTTAATGAGGTTATCTGAAAGAGGTGGCTTTGGACAGCCTTTAAGAAAATGTCCCTTTCGGTTCTATAAAAATACAGAAAAACAAAAGAAAAAAAACCATCTTGAGTATGACCCATTTTAAAGACTCTACTCCATTTTGTTCAGTGACCTGTGGAGATACAATATATTAAATTTTTCATTCAACAACATCATTTAAAGAAGTTAAAATTGGTATAAACAATGTATTCCAAAGCACATCCTTTATCAAACACATACAAAAATATAATAAAGCTTAATAAAGACATTGTTGAGTAGAATCGGGTTTTTTTGGCCATCGACTGTCAATGAATCTGCCTTAATTTTCAATTTAATCTTGCTTTTTTGTTGTTTTTTGTTTGTTTTTTGTCAAACTTAATTGGACTGCTTCATTTTTAGATTTGAACACAATGCACTATTCAGTCTAACAAATCAATTACTTGCATTTACCTGACCACAGTTATTCTGTCCACGTTCTATGCATTACCTCCCTTAAATCTGGGGGCTTTCTGCATTTCAAACAACCTGCTATTAGAAAAGCTGCTTAATATAACATATGTGACCTTCTCGTTTAGACAGTTATATCAAATAAATCAAACAACAGTTCAACACTGAGCTTTGGTTAAACAAATTATCAGCATTAGAACTTAAAAGTTCTTGCCATGGCCTTTGTTCATGACCATGGCTGGGGTTAGGAGTGAGAAAGACTAGGACCGGGTTCCAGCAACCAGAAAGGTTACACAGCCTTCGTTTCAAGAAATGTCAACATGACACAACACAGCACAACCATACCTGCACGCTTCCCATGGCAGAGTATGCAGCATAGGAGAACTGCTGCTTTGTCAGATCATTTGGCCCACGCTGGTCACAAGGGGTCCCGTTTGGCATGAAACACTGGTGGCTAGATCTGTCAGTGATGGTGTTGGGTGTGGAACCAGGCAGACTGAGCAGAACAGTGTGATTGGATAGGTGGACATCAGTTAAACCAAGTCCCACCCACTGCCTGTAAAGGTACCTGGCTCTTGACTCTTCACTGTCATCTGACAAGCTTGAAAAAGACCTAGAAAGAGTGGAGAAAGACTTGTTACTTTGGAGATAAACAGAAAGCAAGATCCCATTATTTCCCAGAACTGTTCATTGAAATGTATTTAGTTTCCCCAAGCAAACTTACTTGATAAGTGATCGTGTTTGCTTAATAATGAATCATAAACAAATACTGTGAAAAGCTGTGAAATTATAATGACGTATTGCAAACTGTCAAGCTGTAAAGCATCTATATTTCTCTGTAAAATTTAACAAAAACTGTTTTAAATTTTATACACCTCCTTTTTAGGTTGTCTCTTTGTGCACCTCTGGACCACTTCCAGAAAAATTGTACTTATTTTTAGACATATAGTTTTTTTTTTTATCTTCACTCATTACCAGTTTAGCTCATGATATCTGGTTGCCTGAACTATTGTCTTCATACGACGAAAGTATTCCAGTTGAAGGGTCGATAATTTGATACATTGGAAGAGATCATGTGCAAATTACAGATGCACGTCTTCAAAGTGGGACCTCCAATTAATGATCTTGAGTTGGTGCAACCCTCCTCAAAGAGATGACCGGCAATGGGAGACTGGCCAAATTTGAGTCAGACTGTTCTTGAAATGTTTTCCTCAGACAGAATTACTGTGAGATCATGGGCCAGTAGAAAAAATCTATTTTGTTAAAACTGAGTGAGGATTAAACAGGATGCCATTCCAAACATGATAAAAATCTATCAAGCTGTCAGCAATTTCAGTTCCATTTAATGCAATTTTATTTCTACAGCACCAAATCACAAAAACAATTGCATCAAGATGCTACCTGGAACATCAGGTAAATACCATAAAAATGTAGTCTGATAAACCCGTACAACTCTTAAGGAACTGACTGAAATCGTTTGTGCACAAGAACGAAAACTATGAATCTGTGAATATTTCCTTTTTTGTGCTTATGAACCGGGGAAAAGGTATCAGCACGCAACATGAGCCTGCAGTCCTCTACGACATTATATTTCACAGTTGGAAAGACATTCATGACCATAACATTCACATGGAGGCTTTTTTTAAATAAAGACCGCATGACATTCTTCAAAATTGTTGTTTATACTAAAGTATTTGTTCACATAAAAACCCAACTCCATTAGGCAGTTCAATATTTGGAGAATTCGACTAACTGAACTTCATTTTTTTTTTTTTTATCAATTAATAAAGCAGATCTTTTTGTATGTATCTTGTATTTGGCTGAGTTCTTTGAAGCCTTTCTTACACCCAGACTCCTCACAGGAGCTGTCAGTCTGTCATTTCCGTTTTCCTAATTGCAGGAAAGAGATGTCAATAAAACTTGATCCTTTGGCCTTATTTGAGTCTTCTCTTCAGGTTTGTTTGGCTCCTGATGTTTACTCTCTTTATTGTTTTGACTCTGAGAGGTCTGGACTCTAAAGTTCAGCAATAAAGACATTTCCAGATTGGACTGCGTGGTATTTCATCCTCATGCTGAAGAAACATTTTTCAGCACTGAACAAAAGCTGGTTACAAAAATAAAAAATATCTATCTATCTACATTTCTTTTTTGGCTTGAGCGAGGCTAAATAATATAAGGATAACATATGGATAGCCTTGATAAAGATGGGCCACGGTCTATATCTATTTTGTCTATCTGTAAGTAGGAGAGCAACATTTATGTATGCCTGCAGAATGTGCTTGTGTGTTTAGTGTGTGTGATATCTATATCAGTCTCAGCAGCAGATGGCCCAAACACACAATTGTGCCATTCTCTAGTCAGCAGGCCACGTCACATAGCTCGCCAGGAGCAGCAGCAGGAGGCACATTGTGTGTGTTGCTGTGTTAGTTTGTGTTTTCTTGTGTATGTGTGTGGAAGACCTGCATCTATAATCCAAGCTGTTGGAAGGGCTCCCTGTGGTTTGGGACACATGCCCAATTCTAACGATACGTCATGTCTCAAGTGACTTGAGTGTGTCTGTGTTTGCTTATATGTGTCAATCTACACAGCTGTGTTGAAAAGACTTCTTATTGCTTACCTACCAAACCCAATTTTTCAGAACACATTGATCTGTCTTTAAATTTAAAAGCCAAATTCAGATCCTTTAGTAAAAGTAGCATTTTTAGCTAGCATTATGAAACGAGTCAGAACTTCTGTTTTCAGCTAACTTGTATGAGCATGTGAAACAAAGGGTCCTAAATGTCCTACATGCATATTAATTTTGGCATACAAATAAGAGCACAAACCTAATTAGCATCATCTGGCTCTGGTGTTTCACCTGTGTCTACACACAACATAAGCTGTAAGGCCACACGAAAGCAATTAGCTAATCACATCAGCCGCGGAAGCAATATTATAACTATAGCTCATAAACCATCCATCCATGTTAATACTCCAACATAAGCTGCCACAGCTAATTTTATTGCAGGCAAACCTAGACTTTTGCTTGTGTTTTCAGGTTTGGCTGGGTAAAAATTTATATATGCTATGTGTCAACACATTCTTCTTATCTTGTTTGCTTACAGTAACATCTAAAATCACACCAACTAGTCAGACAAAGGTTGTTGCCAACTAAGTTGACCCAGGGTTTCTGAATCATGCACATTCACACGAAAAGGGTAGCAGTGCCCTCTTTTAAGATAATTGTGAAGGTGTATAGAACAGAGTTGAGGCTCAGGTGTGAAATGTATGGTTTTCAGGGTTCTTATCGGTTTTCAGCGTTATTTTGTTATCGTTTTTATCGTTAACTCGGTTTTCCTGGGTCTTTTCACGTGTGTTATGAATAAATCTTCTTTTTTCGGTACCGGTACTAGTTTTATTTTGTTGTATTTATCCGCGACACCTTAAAGGCCGGTCCGTGAAAATATTGTCGGGCATAAACCGGTCCGTGGCGCAAAAAAGGTTGGGGACCGCTGTCTTACAGACCTTCATAACACTAAAATCCCAGGGTTATCTTCAGGGTTAACCTGAAGACAAACAAGAAAATATATAATGTGTCATTCCCAAAGGACACTGGTCACTTGGTGCAGCGGGCCACATTACCATTTTGGGATATAATTTATTAAAACTTTAATGGAGCCATGTTTGAGACTCCAGTAAAACTGTCATTTCAGAAGGTTACTACCCCATCAATATCATGTGAAGATGTGTCCTGTTTAAGCCAGATGGCTCTTCTTCCTCTTCTTGACATTTTCTTCCAACTAATAGGATTGAGCATGGATATCGTGTACAATATCTGTATTTATTTTATGGCAAATAATTCTATAAGGCTGTTCAGAAACTTCAAAAAACAAGAAAATCTGTGTTATTTTCATGCTGTGTAACCTTTCCTACGCCTGCAGAGATACTCTGATTGTTTTGAAGTGTTAATATGGCCGCATTTGAGGGCTGGCAAATATCTTTATCTGATGAGTGGATTGAATCCTTTCCTCTGAAGCCGCTCTACCCCACAGAGATTGATGAAAAACTGTTTATTCAAACTTCAGCGAGCTGCAATTGTTTCATGAAAGGCTTTTTTTTTTAATGTTTCATATCTCGTCTCTTCTAAAGCATCTGAGCTTTAATTAATTCTTTATTCACAATATCACTGACAAATGGGGTGAGGAAGAGAAATGTCTCTTCATCCTGATTTGAAATAACAGTTCAAAGTCTGGTCCCAAACTCCCAAGCTTAAATTTCTGTGCAAGTCAAAAGCTTTTCTATTATTAAAGATGGAAAATGGCAATGCTTCTTCAAAGCCAGTTTTTAGCATCTATGCACCATCTCCTTTCAAACAGAGCCAGACAAATTAACTTTGGCAAAGAATACATTTATGGTCTTATTTTGATTTGTGTTTTTATTGCATGTTTTATGTTTGCTATAATGGTAATATGTAAGAGCTATTAGCATGAGAGCAGGCAGATAAATCACATGTTTCGCCCATGCATATTGCATATATAATTGCCTCTGTGGGAGCTCGATGTGCTTTCTTGGGCCAAGCAGACTTGGGATATGAGCTGCTGTTGCCTCTGCTGGCAGCTGCTGAGGATAATATATTCCTGTAGCGCACAATCATTTTAATAGCTCATCCATTTGTTGAGGAGACAATTGATTTTCTCTGTTTCCATACACGTTAGTCACATTTGATTTCTCTCGTCCCATTTGCATTTGTCACATTTTAAGAGCGTGGCGCTTGTGCTCAGGCTCCATGATAGGAAATCTTTATTCAGGTGCCAGGGCTAGTGTTAAGGTGGAATGCAAGTGATGATAGAGGCTGCCAATAAAGACGACTCCACTCATCACTGGCACTTTTACGCACATCAAGTAAGGATGGAGAAATTAGCAAAGCACATCAGAGAGACAGCAGAGAGTTAAATCACTGATCCAAGGACAGTGAATTCTGTGGCTACGTTGAAAAGATGATTTGAAACATTTTCAAATATTTCTAGTCTGATAGATTTAATTCAGTGCTAAATAAACTAACATCATAATATTCTATTATTTTCTAAAAAGAACTTAGAGAACTGTGCAAAAGTCTGGAGTGATTTATTATGCTCCTGAGGATTGAACAATAACTCTAAAGGTCTTTCAACATTTTACTTTAGCCATTGGCTGCTTTTTCATTTTCAGTCCAGTCCTTGTATCTGACAGTTTACAGAGTAATGTCTGTCTATGAATCTGTCAAACTACCACTGATATGTGACGCTTTGTTGCTTCACAGACCTGTCTGTTGGAAATGAGCAGCAGAGATGGAGCATTTCCAGTACTTGACCAGACCACCTGAAACCCATCAGCCCAATAAGCGACAGTTCAAAACAACCAGTGTTGCCATTCAGACCTCACAAGATTATTCTGCTTACTCAGGGTGGTAAACAGGCTGCGTTTTCCTCATGTAATTCTCCTTCATTTGCTAACTGCTTAATCATTGTCTCCAGAGTTTTCTCTGATGGTCCTGGGAGCGACCTTTTCACATGAACCTTACTACCTTGGTCATTTTCAACCACCTTTGAGTCTGTATCCCATTTTGACCTCAGAACTTCCAGGCCATACTCACTA